CTCCCCACACCCCCATAAACAAAAACCAACCAAACCCCAGCTTAGGCCAACAAAAAAATTAAACTTACCATATTATATTCATTTGTAATTCCTTATAGTACAAAGTTTTTTCTATCATTTAGAAAAATACTTGCAAAAAAATAATTAAAAAAATACTCCATGTCATTTGGAAATTTTTTTGAAACTCTCGATCCAAAAACAAGTCATAAAAATTTGTATAGAAATAAATTATTTTATTCAAAATAAAATATATAATTTAAAATTAAAATGTATATAAACATAGAAGTGCCATTTTTTTAAAACTATCTCGAGAAGTATTCCTTCCGTTTTAAAATATATGACACATTTCGCTTATTGAGTCAAACTATATAAAGTTTGACAAATATTTTAAAATATATTTTGTTATCATATTGACTGGAGAAAAATTGCAACTTATATTACTTTTTGCATAGTTTTTGAATATCCAAAGTTTAATTTTAAAATATTATGTTGAACTAATTTAATTCTAAAATATTATGTTGAACTAATTTAATTTAGCTTTAAAGTTTAATCAAATTGACCATCGATAAGCGAAATGTGTTATTTAAACTGAAACCGATGGAGAGTAAGAAGTTAGAAATTGACATGGAATTTCCGAAGTGTTTTTGCCCATAAATACATTAAGCTCTACCTACCTTAGACCATCTAGACGTATAAATTAAAGCTTGTTTCATTTAAGAAAATTTGGCTAAGCCTTCAAATACACAGGCTAGCTACAGCCCAAGAAAATTCCACTCTTTTTCTTCATGTCAAAAGATCTTTTCTTGTTTTGCCATGGCTCCAATGGAAGTTAGCTCTAAAGAGAGAAAACTCAGAAAAGCTTGTTTTTTGGGTTGTTTTGGATTTTCCATTAATAAAACAAAGCTAGTCTCTTCTGATTATGTTAAGTCAGCCGGCGGCAAGAAAAAAAGGAAGTCTTTTTTGTTTATTTCTAAGTTTGTAGGGAAGCACTCGACGGCGGCGAAAACTATTCCGGTGGACATATCGGAGAAGTTCAACCGGAGTAGAGAAATTCATGTCGTGGAGCCGGAGAAGAAGGCTTCTGTTAAAACTCCGGCGACCACCGATCAGGTGCTGGTTAATGGTCAAACAAATATCCCTGAGAAGGTTAATAATAAGGTATGTTAATATGAGAAGTAATCGGTAATATTTGAAAGCTGGTATAGACACCATCGTTATTTTAAAAAAAAACTATAATCGTTGGTGGATATGAGGAGGGGTAGAGGTAGGCCAAAAAGTCTTGGGGATAGGTGATTAGACGGGCACATCTGGCACTTACTAAGGCCTGAGGGTCGAGAATTAGAGTAGAAGGTTAGTAGGTAGATAAACGTTTCCTTTTGTCTTCAACAACATTAGTGTCAGTATGATATCATTTTATTCTTAGATGGCTATTACTATCTACCGTTTAATTGCTATCTTGGCTACTTGTCGTCATTGCTTCATTCATTTTTTCTTTAGCTAAAGGTATATCAGAAACAATCTCTAAAGCTAATTACATCATATCTCACTTGTGATAATTCATTAGGTTTTGTTATTATTGTTGTGATTATTTGTGATTGTATGACTTTAAAAACCATAGTATAAGAAGGAAGAAAGGAGTACGTATTTCCTTAATGATCCAAGTTTAATCCATTTAATATATAACTTTGTAGATCATATGAAGGAGGTGATTTAAAGGTAAAAGAAATTTGTAGATACACAATTTATGGAGTTTGTGGATATCACATTGACCTTTTTTTCTTTTTCTTTTTCAAATCCATATTGTTTATAAAAAAATTCTATCTGAAATAGATGGAGATCTTTAATTTCTTTCTCTTTTCTGGGTCTGGGACCAATCACCAATGTTATATACGTTTCTTATTTACGATTACTTATTGGTTTACTAGCAATTTCGTCTTATTGTTTTCTTGCCATTCTTTACCTATTTCTTAAATGAGTATGTTTAACAATATAATTTTATTTCTTGATCTCATTATTTTCAGACAAACGACGATAATAAAATTCAGGACAACATCCACAAAAAGAACAAAAGTTTGGATCAATTGTTCGACAACGCACAAGAACATTCCACGTGTCCAAGTGAATTTTCAAGGAGTGTTACTATTTCTAGTACTCATAATTTGAGCCACTTTAATTCACCAAAAGCCAACCATAATAATATCAAGCTTTCCCACTCAGTATCTCTGCCACCACCAAAACGGAAGAAACCACCGGCGGCGACCACCACCGGTGAAGTCAATGACGAGAAGTCGAGTCAACGACATGATCAACAAATTAATAACAACTACTTTGATTCAATTATTGGGATGTCAATTCTAATGGTGACCCTATTGATAATGTTGTTTTGGGGCAAGGTTTGTGCCATTATTTGTACGTCTGCATGGTTTTATTTTCTTCCCAGGTTTCGACCGAAGAATGAAGCAATCGTCGCCGGAAAAAATGGTGGAGTCGCCGGCGCTGTTGATGTCAACTCCGACGAATACAAGAAGAAAGTTGTGTTGGAAGGGTTTTTAGAGAGAAACCACAGGAGTGGAATTGGATTTTTGTAGGTCTGTTGTTAAGGATTTTATTTAATTTATCAAAACCTATTTCTTTTATTTTGTTCTTTTTGTGTGGAATATTTCTACTCAATTTTTTTTAAACGAGAAGGAAAAGGAGAAACACTTTTTTCAGTTCACTGTTCAGATTGATTTTTTGTGTAAAATTTTTGACATGTATGGAGTGTTCAAAAGAGATGGCTGTTTCTAGAAGTAATAAATATTCATGCAAAACATGACTCCTCAAATTTTAACATAAATTTTACATTAAAAAGAACATAAATTTTACCTCCTTAAAATATAGAAGTATCGTAGAATAAGTTTTACATATTAAAATATCTAAAACTAATTTGAAAAATTTGTAATCTATGTCCTTTAACTCACAAATTAATAGTATGTAACCAATGAACAAATAATTTTATTGACTTAAAAATTTAAAACTTATAACAACATTAAAAGTTTCACTAAATAAATACTAAAGAATATATGTGAAAATTGTTGGCAACAAAATTTTACTTCTGATCAAGTGTAGATTTTATCAAAGATTGTTGGAGTGTTTAAGTTTTTCTTATAAAAAAAGAAAGATAAAAGAATATATTTTTTTTATTATTTAAATGGCAGCATTTCTATTGAGTACGAATAGTTATCTTTTAACTGAAGGACCAAACTGGATAATATGATAATTAGACTACCTAACTTACTATATCTTAAATAGTAAAAGTATATGAAATTAATAATAAAGGAAATAAGTAAAAGATTTCAAAATTTTTTATTTAACAATAATTAATAACTTTTTTGCACCACTTTAAAACGCCTGAACGATTTAAATGCTTACCCTGAAGTATGCTCCTTGGTTTAAATTAATTTAAAATATTTTAAAGCTTTATTAACTCAATGAAAAATTAATTTATTTAATGGATTTGGTGGCAATAGTCGTAACAACGTCATGAAAGCCGGCGGCCCTCATTATGTATGAGCTTTAATAGGACTGCGGTTGACATTATACTATTTGGTGAATTATTCATTGTCTTATTAATTTGAATGAGATTTAGGTAGTCTATAAGATCTTTAAATCCAATTTACTTGGAGCAAATACAACTTTCCGACTAGCACAGATACAAGTTATCAAGCAGGACAAATATACTAAGTTTTTTTTTTCTTTTTTTCCTTTTTGTGACAAAATTACTCTTTTTATCTATTGAGGTAACAATGCTACCAAAATTAACCCAATGTTTTAACTTCTTACCTAGTTTAACCCATTTGTATATAACTTGAAATTCGTTTTTTATTTCTTAGCCCAACATTAAAGGCATACTTCTAATGTTCTTTTTTTCTTCTTCTTATCTTTCATACAAAAACAAATTTTAGTGTGTAGTTTATCAATTGTTGACTCAATATAATCACACAAGTATTGTAGTCTCAATACCCAGTCATTCAAAAATCAAAATGATACACAAGAATATAATATGGATATGCCATAGTAATAACACTAGTACGCTATCATATTTATATGTTATGACCATCTTTATACTCATCTTTTCAATTGAAACGAGTAATAAACGCTATCATATTTATATGTTATGACCATCTTTATACTCATCTTTTCAATTGAAACGAGTAATAAACGCTATCATATTTATATGTTATGACCATCTTTATACTCATCTTTTCAATTGAAACGAGTAATAAACGCTATCATATTTATATGTTATGACCATCTTTATACTCATCTTTTCAATTGAAGCGAGTAAAGTTTTAAACGATTTATCCATGCATAACAAATTTAGCTTTTGAGTAATTAAGTTATTATTACACTAATAACGCTCTATGTTTGTTATGATTGGTGAGAAATTTCGTGATTGAGCACACACTTTATATTTCTCCTTTTTTTTATTTGCATAAATGCTGTTAAAATTTTGAAATTGGTTTTAATTTTTTAGGTGTTTGGATTTGGTATTGTTCCAATCAGTTGAAAAAATCAAGAGGAGTTTAAAACTTAAATTTAAAATAATTTGGAATAGATTTGAGTTAACTTTCAGATCTTGGTTTTTTGAGTTTGTTAGTTGTTTGGATTGAGTATTGTTCTAATCAATTCAAAACATCAAGAGGAGTTCAAAATTCAAATTTGAAATGATTTGGAGCATACTCGAACTAAGTTTGAGTTAAATTTCAGAAAAGAATCAAGGAAGAAAACAAAGCCAGTTTTTGTATAACAATGTATGTAACGACCCGATCGGGTTTTTAGCTATAATGCATCGTTCGGCAGTTTGAGGCCTTGAATAGCTTCACTTCAGGTATTATAACTTCTACGTGTGGTCGGAATTGAATTTCGGGAAGTTCAGAACTTATTCTGATGAAAAATTCTCAATTCAGAAGCTTTAAGTTGGAAGAGTTGATCAAGGTTTGACTTTTAAGTAAACGACCTCGGAATCGGGATTTCAAAGTTCAAATAGATTCGTATGATAATTTTGGACTTGGGCGTACATTCGGGTTGAGTATCGGGCGGTCCGGGAGCATTTCGGCGCTTATTATGGAAAGTTGGCATTTTGAAAGTTTAAGAATTTCTTAAGGTTGATTTGAAGTGAATTTTGGAGTTATCATGTCTGTTTGGAGTTCCGAGCCTTAGAATAGGTCCATATCATGATTTGTGACTTGTATGTAAAGTTTGGCATTATTCCGGGATATTTAAGTATAATTCGGACGCGTTCGACGAAGTTTGAAAGTTTAAAGAAAGGTTTCGATCTTCGATTCGTAATTTGGACGTTGTTTAACGTGATTTGAGGCTTTAACTAAATCCATACCTTATTTTGGGATGTGTTGATATTTTTGGATGCGGTCCCGGGGGCCTAGGGTTTGAAATGGATTGAAATTTAGATTTGAAGAAATGATGTTGTTGTTGAAGACTAGTGTCATCGCACCTGCGGAAAGTGTGGCCGCAGGTGTGGTCACGCAGGTGTGAAGGGGGTTGTCGCATGTGTGAAATTCGTGGAGGAGACCTAGGAGCGCAAGTGCGAGGAATGTTTCGCACGTGCGAGGTTGTAGATGCGGAGAAGAGTTCGTAGAAGCAGAATTAGCCAAGAAGGCCTAGAACGGCATAAGCGGACTTGGTCACGCGGGTGCGTGAGCGCAGAACCGCTTGTTGTCTATAGAAGCAGAAGCGCAGATGCGCTATTTTGGTCCGCAGAAGCGGATTTTCCTGCACTTAGAGGGAACCGCACATGCAATAAATTTTTCCGTAGGTGCAGAGTCACAAGTGCGACTAAGAGGTCGCAGGTGCGTAAGTCGCTGGGCAGTGGGGTGCTTTTAAATCGAGACTTAGCTCTCATTTATCTAATTTTCACTTGGATGGCAGAATTTGGGGAGCTATCTTGAGGAGTTATTCATCAAGCAATACGAGATAAGTGATTCCCACTTATTGCATGTTAATTTCATGAATTTCATAGGGATTTAACATGAAAAATTCTGGAAATTTTGGGATTTTAAGGGAAACCCTAAAAATTGGTATATTTGAATTTTGATCGCGATTTTGGGAATGAAACTAAGAATAAAATATATATAGTTATGGTGTCATGGGTAATGTTTATCTTCAAAAAATTTAAAATGTGGGCCCGACGGTTGACTTTATTGACTTTTCGAGCGAAGTTGAGAAGTGTTATAAATTGATTAATTATGAGTATTAGAGTATATTTTTATTGGTTTGTAGACTATTTGACTAGTCTCAGATTGTTGGCCATCGGTTTGAGGTGTTAGAGAGACATTAGAGCTCGTTATGGAACTTCGGAGCGAGATAAATCTCTTGTCTAACACTGGGAGAGGGAATCTACCCCTTAGGTGTTATTCTTGTTATATGCTACATGTTGTGGAGTTGCACATGTATGAGTTGACGAGTGTCTGTGCGTATGCTAGAATTCCTAATTTTGTCGGGGTAGAGTTAGGTTCACGCCATGCTTTAATTGTACCAGTTGAGTTATCCTTGCATATTTAATTCCTTTATTTCACGTTAAAACCTGAGACTATGCTTGCGTATAGTGACAGACTCGCTATTGTAGAGATTTGACGAGCTACTTGATTAGCCCCGGAATAATTGTGTTTTCCCCGATGAATTTCTCCCGCGTTGTGCGTTTTCTTCAAAAAGCTTCCTTATATTTTATAACTCACACATATATTTATGAGCGGGGCCAATGACCCATAAAAGTTTCTTATTCTAATGAGATCGGATCGTTCGCCTCGGCAAGATTATGTAACACACTCTTTTGGGATCGGGTAGTTTGCCTCGGCAGGTGTAACACACTCTTATGGAATCGGGTTGTTCGCCTCGGTAGTATCATATTCTTATGGAATCGGGTCATTCGCCTCAACAGTATCATATTCTTATGGGATTGGGTCGCTCGCCTCGGCAGTATCATGTATCATATTCTTATAGGATTGGGTCGTTCGCCTCGGCAGTATCATGTATCATATTCTTATGGGATTGGGCCGTTCGCCTCGGTATTTCTATAAAATACTCTTGTGGGATCGGGTTGTTCGCCTCGGTAAATTCATGAAACACTCTTATGGGATCGAGTTGTTCGCCTTGGCAGAATCGTGCGTAACATTTGACAAGAAGCCAGTGTATCCATGAGTTTTCCTGATTTGAATTATGATGACCTATCTGGTGGGGACTATTTTATGTATATACTCCGATTGAGGAAATAACCAATAATTGAGAGATTGTGTTTACTGTTCAGAGGAGGATCGTACCACGTACCTATATTAGTTTACACTATTTATTTACCATGCCTTATACTTGTTTACTTTCTATTGTACTTGATTTATTGGACCACTAGTAAGTGTCAATGTCGACCCCTTGTCACTACTTCTCCGGGGTTAGGCTAGATACTTACTGGGTACGCGTTGATTTATATACTATGCTACACTTCTGCACTTATTGTACAGGTATATATATTCCTCGTATTCTTTTGGGCTCAAAGGCATGGCTATTGCGGGGACTTTACGGTGAGTTGCATCACATGTTACGATCCACAACATACAGAGTCTCCATCAGAATTATTTACATTTTTCCTATCTAACTTGTATTTCAGACAGATGTTGTATTGTATTGTACCTTTAGTAGATGCTCATGCACTTGTGACACC